ACCCCTGAGGTCCTCCTCTGCCCCAGTGTGCTGGAGCCTGCACCTGGCCCTGACTGCCTGGTTGTCACTATCCTGGAGGTGCCAGAGGATGTGTCCCCGCCTGAGGGCCTGGGCGGGCTGGAGGTGGTGGGGCTCTACCACCCCACCAGCCTGGGCTCAGTGCCCTGCCACAGCCCTGGGCAGAAGTGCCACTCCTGGGGGAGGCGAGCTGCTCCCCGCTGCATCCTGGGTGTCCTTGGCCTCCTCTACTTCAGCTCCCTGCCATTCGGCATCTACCTCCTGCTCATCGAGCACCACGGCCTGGGCATCGTCCTAGTCAGCCTCGTGCCCTCCACCCTCCTCCTCTGCATTGTCTACAGCCTCTGTCAGTGTCTGTGCCGGGAAGTCTTCAGGTTCTCCCACTCCTGACCCTGCACAACTGAGCCGTGTGCCCAGGGAGGCTTTGGGCACCTTGGAGTGTTGCCCCTTGGGGTACAGGTGTTCCCTGCTCCACAGAGTGGCAATGTGCCTGGACCAGCGTGCTCAGTGCCCGCTGCCTTTCCTTGCAGAAGAGTCCAGGCTTTGCCAAGCAGGAGCCCAGGCCAGAGGAGCTGCAGGAACTCATTGCAGCCTACGAGCACTCAGGCCAGACCCTCATCTTGTCATCCTCCTCCTGGCCCTCCTTCTCCTCTACAGCAAAGAGCTGGAGCTGGGCCAAGAGCAAAGCAGCAGCCGGGCGACAAACCCCAACTAGGGAGGGGTGAGTGCTCAGCGCCTGGGGTGAAGCAGCCTCTGCTGCAGCCCAGCACCAGCAGAAGGGCGGGCAGAGCCCAGGGCTCCTGTGGCCAGGCTGGCACCAGCACAGCTCCGTGTCCATAGTGTAAATAGTTGTGTCCGTGGCGCCCGCGCTCCTGGCGGGGCTGCTCCCATCGCATCCGTGTTTCATTCCCACATGTGTGAGTCCCGTGTTGGCCGCCGCTGTGTACCATAGAGGGGAGGAGCAGGGAAGAGGAGTTTCTTCAGTGTGTAAAGGCGTCTTTGCAGCTGTTTTGTAGTCGTTGTGGTTTTTATGCCGAGCCTCTGGGCTTTATTTAACCTCCTTGGGTTTTGTTTTGTAAGGATTAATTTAACACCGCTAACCATTTTATTACTTTTATCAAGAAGAGCAAAGTCTATTTTTGATTTCTGTTTCCTGGTTCTTAGGAACATTAAAACCAGCATACAGCTCTGCC